CAGCGCCCCAGACTTCAGTATGAATGGATAACACAGTAAATCAGAGTATACAGCGCTCAAAATGATTACATCGACGCATTTGGGTATAAATTCAATAAATATTATTCCTGTCTATAGAAGTCTGATGTAAACCTATGAGAATCTATCAATATTTCTCCAAATCTGCACATGTTTGAGCTAAAAGCCCTGAGGGACGTTGTTTTGTGAATCGCTGTCATGACGATCGCACGGGAGTTTTTTTCTGAATGAGAGCAGCTGACGCTCATAATTCATATTAAAGGTAACGACTCATTTTTTTATTTCATAACTCCTGACACAAATTAAGACATAACTGTCACTATAAGTTTCACAGAATACAATAGTGGTCAAATACTGAAACTTGAGTCTTATATCGTTTTAATGATGTATAGTTTGTCAAGTTAATCACATTAAATATGATAGTAACTTTGAACTATTTAAAAAAAAAACGCTTCAGAGCGCCCACGCACTGGTGACGGTTAACAGGTTAATTTGGCGGGAATATTAATCGGACAAGTTGTTAAGAGCCCTAGAATGAAATCCATATTTGGGACTAGAGGCTTGATAATTCTGGAAACCCTCAATATAATACTCACCACATGTACTTTGGTAAAGTACTATCTTGAGGGGGGTTATGAAAAACTCATAGGATTTTGTTTTACCATTTTTGTGATTTTTTATTTAATGGTACTAGCAATTAGACGAGTAGAAGCTGGAGGTAGAAAAATGGCTATCTACATAGTAGTGGTAATGACACATGCATTAATGACCATGGTGACTGCAGAATATTATGATGATCCTAGAATGTTTGGTATATCAATGATGGTGGTTATCAATGACTGGTTTTATCTAATGAAAATCATAAAAGCTGTTAAAACATGTTGTCTTAGTATTGAGTTAACAATACCTTCTGTAACATCTAATTAGGATTCAACAACCTACAATAGACGAGTGAGGACAAGACACCTTGATGGATACCAACAACTTGCAAATGAGAGAACAAGAAATTGTAATATGTGTAATGGACATACTGAAAGTCTAAGAATAAGATGTTTTTTAGAGGATAGATGGTGTGACATGTGTCCCGAATGTACTGTTAAAAATGATGTAAAAATGGATGAGATTGGAGGAGTAGTTATAACAAAACGAAGAGAGAGAATGGATACTTATGGACCCTGGGTGTCAAGTAGATTCCTTGGATGGTGTATCGAAATGAATTTCCTATGGTGTGGTATAGGCGAAATTCTAGCAATGCAGGCTGGCTCAAAAAATAGTTATACAGCCAAGACCTATCATCTCGAACCGAGGGTATACCTGAAAAGAACCAGTGCTGGTGGTCTGGAAACCATAATAGGAATCGTGTACAGAAGCTGGGTCTGGGGAGACCTAGGTCAATCACCAGATGGTGAAGAAGAATATGAATACAGTTGTGTTTATGTTCCAACAGAGAGTCCTTATATCAGAGGCCCCTGGGGAATGGGCGGAAGTCCCATTCACTCAACGAATCGCGGCCCGAGGAATTCCATTCGGAATCAACCAGTTGAATCTGGACAAACTTCCGAAACTATGGAGGAAAAAACACGAGTTTCAGTGGACACCAGTGAACCAGCAGTGGTACAGGCAGATTGTACTACAGAGTCTGATGAGATGGTGTTACCTCTCAGGGATGAGCAATGATCAGGTCAGAGGGCTGAAAGTGATGATGTGCAGGCCTAATGAGGTCGGCTACCACCTGTGTGAGGTGGAATTCGACTGTATCACACCAAGCGTATATTGTATGGGAAGTTTGGATAGATTAGATAGATTTTTGAAGACAGAATGTCTGATTGGTAACAATGCACAAAAACCAAGGAAACTACAGAGACCCAGAGTTAATTTGAATAGATTCAGAAAAACTAAAAGTGCAAATTAAATGCCACGAGGGGGTGTGATATAGATGGCCCATATGTGTGACATTTCACTCGCTATAATATCATTATAATATGAAACAAATAAGATGATCAGAATAAAAGAAATATCTGGGCTATGAAATGTACAACGAATGAAAAGAATGATCAATGTATGAACTATGTATGACTTGTTTGAGGAAAAAACCTTTGACCCACAAAACTGCCGTTATCATGCACAGGATACACAGACCCCCACCCTGCCTGAGGCAGTTTCCAAGAACCAGATGCACTGTTTATGTTATCTCACCTCCTATATACTGAGAATTAGGGTGTGCTGTCGCTAGCTAAATGTATCCTGCTGACGTATATGATTGCTGTTATCTGCGGAAAGTGACTGCTGTTATCTGCGGAAAGTGACTGCTGTTAGCTGCGGAGAGTGCTTGCTGTTAGCTGCGTAAAGTATTTGCTGTTATCTACGGAAAGGAATTGCCGATAGCTACCACCAGTACCGGTGGAAACCTGGCTATAAAAGAAGGAGAGTCAGACGGACGCTTCGCTCTTCCTTGCAAAAAACACTCTGATATCCCAGCAGTTGTCAGAGGCAAGAAGCTTCAAGCCTAGCTAGTATCTATCTGTTAGTTAGTACTCATTTTGATCTGTAACAAGTGTTTCTTTTTCATTTGATTATTTTAATAAATTCTGTTACATTTATTATAATCATCTGACTGGACCTTGGATCATTGAGTGCTGTTCACTTTCCTTCAACTGAATCAAGAAGATTCTTTCTGGGGAGAACCAACAACAAGGGGTGAGAATTCTTTTGAGATAAGAATAATTCACTGTTGAATTTGATTGATCAAACAGCCTAGCCAAAGAGGCAGCATATAACATGTAAACATATAGAGTGATATGTGTACTACAAACTGTTATAGTGCGAACACGGTTGAAGAGTACCGCAAAAGGTAGACTTATAATATAGAGGGGAAATCTATTATCTCTATAATAGAATACGAATTTATATAGACTGATCACCTAACTCTTGAGGACACGACTAAAGGATAGGCTCTTTACGAATGAATCGCGGCCCGAGGAATTCCATTCGGAATCAACCAGTTGAATCTGGACAAACTTCCGAAACTATGGAGGAAAAAACACGAGTTTCAGTGGACACCAGTGAACCAGCAGTGGTACAGGCAGATTGTACTACAGAGTCTGATGAGATGGTGTTACCTCTCAGGGATGAGCAATGATCAGGTCAGAGGGCTGAAAGTGATGATGTGCAGGCCTAATGAGGTCGGCTACCACCTGTGTGAGGTGGAATTCGACTGTATCACACCAAGCGTATATTGTATGGGAAGTTTGGATAGATTAGATAGATTTTTGAAGACAGAATGTCTGATTGGTAACAATGCACAAAAACCAAGGAAACTACAGAGACCCAGAGTTAATTTGAATAGATTCAGAAAAACTAAAAGTGCTCATTAAATGCCACGAGGGGGTGTGATATAGATGGCCCATATGTGTGACATTTCACTCGCTATAATATCATTATAATTTGAAACAAATAAGATGATCAGAATAAAAGAAATATCTGGGCTATGAAATGTACAACGAATGAAAAGAATGATCAATGTATGAACTATGTATGACTTGTTTGAGGAAAAAACCTTTGACCCACAAAACTGCCGTTATCATGCACAGGATACACAGACCCCCACCCTGCCTGAGGCAGTTTCCAAGAACCAGATGCACTGTTTATGTTATCTCACCTCCTATATACTGAGAATTAGGGTGTGCTGTCGCTAGCTAAATGTATCCTGCTGACGTATATGATTGCTGTTATCTGCGGAAAGTGACTGCTGTTATCTGCGGAAAGTGACTGCTGTTAGCTGCGGAGAGTGCTTGCTGTTAGCTGCGTAAAGTATTTGCTGTTATCTACGGAAAGGAATTGCCGATAGCTACCACCAGTACCGGTGGAAACCTGGCTATAAAAGAAGGAGAGTCAGACGGACGCTTCGCTCTTCCTTGCAAACAACACTCTGATATCCCAGCAGTTGTCAGAGGCAAGAAGCTTCAAGCCTAGCTAGTATCTATCTGTTAGTTAGTACTCATTTTGATCTGTAACAAGTGTTTCTTTTTCATTTGATTATTTTAATAAATTCTGTTACATTTATTATAATCATCTGACTGGACCTTGGATCATTGAGTGCTGTTCACTTTCCTTCAACTGAATCAAGAAGATTCTTTCTGGGGAGAACCAACAACAAGGGGTGAGAATTCTTTTGAGATAAGAATAATTCACTGTTGAATTTGATTGATCAAACAGCCTAGCCAAAGAGGCAGCATATAACATGTAAACATATAGAGTGATATGTGTACTACAAACTGTTATAGTGCGAACACGGTTGAAGAGTACCGCAAAAGGTAGACTTATAATATAGAGGGGAAATCTATTATCTCTATAATAGAATACGAATTTATATAGACTGATCACCTAACTCTTGAGGACACGACTAAAGGATAGGCTCTTTAGTTACCGCGGGATTATATTGATGTCCTGAACGGATGTCTTATAATTCGGAACGGTATTAATCGTGAAAATCCATCGCAAAATGAGCCAAAACTGTTCAAACTCCAACTAAAAAATCATTAAATAAAAAAAAAATTTAAAATCATATTTAAACAGACATCATCCCTAAGCTGCCGCCCCAAAAACGAGCATTTAAGGGACAAACTGGATTGTTTTCCCCCCGGTGGGCGTCGCTCTGTCTCTATTAAACTCAATTAAACTGCCATTATAGCTAATATTTCATATCTATCTATCTATCTATCTATCTATCTATCTATCTATCTATCTATCTATCTATCTATCTATCTATATCTATCTATCTCTATCTATCTATCTATCTATCTATCTTTCTATCTCTATCTATCTATCTATCTGTCTGTCTATCTATCTATCTATCTATCTATCTATCTATCTATCTATCTATCTATCTATCTGTCTATCTATCTATCTATCAGTTTGTGTGTCATATAGAGCCTTTATCTCTCCACCCATCCATCATGTCCAGCTCAGATCTTCAGACTCACTGTTTTGGACGATGTCCTGCATCTTCTTCCAGACTCTGAACGGCAGGTTGCCCAAGTATCGTGGCACATGAATCAAAGCTCCAGAAGCCATCTGTGGATCCGGCCGTGAGCTCTGGACTCTGGAAGAACATTCAGGAGTCAGAACTGCAGTGGCTTTGGATCAGAACCAGAGAGACCAGAGACAGGAGCAGATCACTCACCTTTCCATTGAGACTGGAAACTCCTGCAGAACAAACACACCATTTATCATCAAGAACTCAATCAATCAACCAATGATCAACCAATGATCTGAAATCAGACCTTCAGAAAGCAGACGTCACTGGCTTTCATCATCTCCTCCATGTCTTTGAGTGTGTGTGAAAGAGCTGAGATGTGTGTGTTCATCTCCTCCAGCTTCTCCTTCATCCTCTGCTTCTTCTGCTCCTCTTCCTCCCTCAGTGCAGTGACTGTAGCTTCTTCTTCATCTCTGAGAAACTGATGAAGCTTCTCAAACTGCTGTTTAATCTGACGCTCTGTGTGCTCAGCTTGAGCCTGAAATCACATCACATTCACTTCAATCATCTCAATCGACACATATCAACACTTCACATCATTCATGTCAGAGATAAACTCGATACCCGACATATAACGGATCCAGAAGCAGATTGATGCTCGTCATTTACAGAAATAAGCAACTGGAATCCATTATATTAAATATATCAGATCATAACTGTATACAGTGATCCTACAGCTGTAATGAAGATAACTCCTGATTCTGGTTCCTCACCTTGATGTGTTGAACTGTTTTCTCAAACTCTCCTTTAATGTTTTCATTGTGTTTCAGTTTCTCTTGTAAGGACTTCAGTGCTGTATTGAACTCCTCCTAGAATTGTATAACACATCAGATTGCAGTGAAGAGAAGAGAAGACGATAGAGTGATATAATCAATGATCGAAATAATATTTGCCCCCATCCTGATTTCTTCTATTTTTGTGCATATCTCATACTAAATTGATTCAGAAATTAAAACATAAACAAAGGCAACCTGAGAAAACACAAAGTAAAGTTTGTAAAAGACAATGTTATTTATTGAAGCTAAACGTAATCCAATACCAACAAGGCCTGCGTGAAAATGTATTTGCCCCCGTAGTTACTAATTCCTCAAATATATGAAATGTATTTATACTGTGGTTGAGCTGGACTAAACACAACCAGTCCTGATTACTGCAGTCATGTTCAATCAAACCAACACTGAAATAGGCCTTTTTCAACAGCATGAAGTTGGTTAACAGGTCTTAAAGTGCCTTATTATGCTTTTTCAACATTCCCCTTCATGTAGTGTGTAATACGGCTGTTAGTGAATGTAAATGTTCTACAAAGTTGTAAAGTGGAAAGTGCATGATAAAAGCTGTAGCTGTTCGTGTTCGTGTTGTGTACATGTCGAGAAGACCCTGTTTTCTGCGCTGGAAAAGCGAACTCTCTTTTAAACACTTCCAAGGGATGAGGATGGTGGTTATAATGAGCACAGCGATACAACAGCAGTTTAACCTTCTGACGACTGCTTCTCAAATCTCTGTGAGGCCTAAATGAGATTTACAAAACGCTTATTCATTAAAGATGGGACCGTAACCTCTTTATTTGGACCAACTCCTCAGAATCACATTATTGATGTATATATTTTCTACTGGGTGTTCAGAATACGTAGCTTTGTGTTTAATATTGTGTAAGTTTCCGGTTAATCGGCTAACTACCGTTATTACAGTCTTACTGAAATACTTCTGCTAATCAGCTGTGGGCCACTATTACATAAAACTGTGTCTATTAATGCGGACTGTCTGTCGTTCTTACTACTTTGAGTAAAAATAAAGGATAGAGCAAGATTTGTTTTACAAACTGTAATGTTACATCAGTCATTCTCGTTAGTACGCTGTTTTTGATACAGTTAATGATACAGTTCCTGCATGTGCACTGCAATAAATTAGAAATATACACATACACTTGTTAATGCTGATGGTGAGTGTAACACAGTTCGTTGTTATGGGAAGAAGGAGGCGAGAACCAGCGAACATTCAAACAAACTTTAATAAAAATGAAAAGTAAAGACGACCTCACGGACGACTGCTGTCACGTATAGGCCTTATGTAGCCCCGCCCCTTTTCAGCGCTGCGCTCGTTGTCTTTTGACTTCCGGTCTGTATTTCCACAGCGATCTTGCATAGGTATGAATGAACTGCTCGTAAAAAAGTTCCCGGTCGACATTTGTTGAGACATCTGCTTTACAATGCTCATGATAACTTTTGTTAACTCTACAATAAGTAAATCCACTTCACCAGCTTATTACTCCTGGACAGCGATGCCATAGAAATATACAGAGCGACCGCAAAAACAGAAGTTCAAAGACAATATTCTAAAGATGGCGGCGCCCACGTTTCTCTAGTGCATAAGGTCTATAACAAAATAAAGCACAACATAAATCCAGGCCTGGCCTCTCTCATCCTTCACTGTCGTCGCTCCTGCTTTATGCTTTGCTCCTCCGTGAGAGACACGAGACCGGTGCGTCGCGCAGGAGTCGCTCATCAGCAATCACGCCGTTCTCCCCCGGCCCTCGTCCTCGTCCTGCTCGCCACGGTGAGGAACTACAGCTGCAACATCTCATAATGTTCCTCAAACTGAGTAGCGGATCACTGAGAAACGTCCCGCTCGAGCCGTCCTTGCGTTGGATAACTAGTTCTTTCGATGTTTCATTGAAACGTGGGGCAAGCATGTTAATTGGGTGTGTGAAAGACTTCACCAGAGATTGTATTTTTTACGAAGATTGTGGTTTTATGGAGTTGATAGGAAAATGATGTTCCTTTTTTAATGTTCCTGTAGTCTGTACTACAGAAAGTGTGATCAGATATGGTCTGTCCACTTGTTACGGTGATCTTTCTGTAAAATCAAAATCAAAGATACTATATATTGTTCAAACTTCGATGAAAATGATTGGACTGAAAGACTACCCTAGTATTCAGACTCTGTATGAGCAATGCACATTAAATTAGGCAAAAATTATTTTAAGCGCCCTGTCTCATCTACCGCTCTTATGAACTCCTACCGTCTGGAACTCTTCGTTATAAATGGAACAGGTTCAAAAACTATTTTGTAATGGTATCAATTAGACTGTTGAACATGAATTAGTGAAGTCTATTTATTTTTATGTGTATGATGTGTATGAATATTTTGTGTAATTTTTTGATATCAGATTTTAGCGAAATGCTGGCTATGGAGTCCATTATAAATTTCCCTATCAGGGACAATAAAGTATATTTCATTTCATCATTGGACTTGCGCTCGGATTGATATGGTAAAATCGACGTCATCGTTATTGTCTTCACAGTGTATACAATCGCTGAGCTTTAGGAACCGCTGGACAGAGTTGATGTTCATTTATAATTTGTAATCGGCTTTTAGCTTCCGATAAGCGTTGTATTCTGTGTAATCAGAACAATCACAACAGACTGGGCAGACTACTCTGCTCTGATTGGTCAGATGGCCCAGTCTGTTGTGATTGGTCTACTCTGCTCTGATTGGTCAGATGGCCCAGTCTGTTGTGATTGGTCTACTCTGCTCTGATTGGTCAGATGGCCCAGTCTGTTGTGATTGGTCTACTCTGCTCTGATTGGTCAGATGGCCCAGTCTGTTGTGATTGGTCTACTCTGCTCTGATTGGTCAGATGGCCCAGTCTGTTGTGATTGGTCTACTCTGCTCTGATTGGTCCGATGGCCCAGTCTGTTGTAATTGGTCTACTCTGCTCTGATTGGTCAGATGGCCCAGTCTGTTGTGATTGGTCTACTCTGCTCTGATTGGTCAGATGGCCCAGTCTGTTGTGATTGGTCTACTCTGCTCTGATTGGTCAGATGGCCCAGTCTGTTGTGATTGGTCTACTCTGCTCTGATTGGTCAGATGGCCCAGTCTGTTGTGATTGGTCTACTCTGCTCTGATTGGTCAGATGGCCCAGTCTGTTGTGATTGGTCTACTCTGCTCTGATTGGTCAGATGGCCCAGTCTGTTGTGATTGGTCTACTCTGCTCTGATTGGTCCGATGGCCCAGTCTGTTGTAATTGGTCTACTCTGCTCTGATTGGTCAGATGGCCCAGTCTGTTGTGATTGGTCTACTCTGCTCTGATTGGTCAGATGGCCCAGTCTGTTGTGATTGGTCTACTCTGCTCTGATTGGTCAGATGGCCCAGTCTGTTGTGATTGGTCTACTCTGCTCTGATTGGTCAGATGGCCCAGTCTGTTGTGATTGGTCTACTCTGCTCTGATTGGTCCGATGGCCCAGTCTGTTGTAATTGGTCTACTCTGCTCTGATTGGTCAGATGGCCCAGTCTGTTGTGATTGGTCTACTCTGCTCTGATTGGTCAGATGGCCCAGTCTGTTGTGATTGGTCTACTCTGCTCTGATTGGTCAGATGGCCCAGTCTGTTGTGATTGGTCTACTCTGCTCTGATTGGTCAGATGGCCCAGTCTGTTGTGATTGGTCTACTCTGCTCTGATTGGTCAGATGGCCCAGTCTGTTGTGATTGGTCTACTCTGCTCTGATTGGTCAGATGGCCCAGTCTGTTGTGATTGGTCTACTCTGCTCTGATTGGTCCGATGGCCCAGTCTGTTGTAATTGGTCTACTCTGCTCTGATTGGTCAGATGGCCCAGTCTGTTGTGATTGGTCTACTCTGCTCTGATTGGTCAGATGGCCCAGTCTGTTGTGATTGGTCTACTCTGCTCTGATTGGTCAGATGGCCCAGTCTGTTGTGATTGGTCTACTCTGCTCTGATTGGTCAGATGGCCCAGTCTGTTGTGATTGGTCTACTCTGCTCTGATTGGTCCGATGGCCCAGTCTGTTGTAATTGGTCTACTCTGCTCTGATTGGTCAGATGGCCCAGTCTGTTGTGATTGGTCTACTCTGCTCTGATTGGTCAGATGGCCCAGTCTGTTGTGATTGGTCTACTCTGCTCTGATTGGTCAGATGGCCCAGTCTGTTGTGATTGGTCTACTCTGCTCTGATTGGTCAGATGGCCCAGTCTGTTGTGATTGGTCTACTCTGCTCTGATTGGTCAGATGGCCCAGTCTGTTGTGATTGGTCTACTCTGCTCTGATTGGTCAGATGGCCCAGTCTGTTGTGATTGGTCTACTCTGCTCTGATTGGTCAGATGGCCCAGTCTGTTGTGATTGGTCTACTCTGCTCTGATTGGTCAGATGGCCCAGTCTGTTGTGATTGGTCTACTCAGCTTTGATTGGTCAGATGGCTCAGTCTGCAGTGATTGGTCTACTCTGCTCTGATTGGTCAGATGGCCCAGTCTGTTGTGATTGGTCTACTCTGCTCTGATTGGTCAGATGGCCCAGTCTGTTGTGGTTGGTCTACTCTGCTCTGATTGGTCAGATGGCCCAGTCTGTTGTGATTGGTCTACTCTGCTCTGATTGGTCAGATGGCTCAGTCTGTTGTGATTGGTCTACTCTGCTCTGATTGGTCAGATGGCCCAGTCTGTTGTGATTGGTCTACTCTGCTCTGATTGGTCCGATGGCCCAGTCTGTTGTGATTGGTCTACTCTGCTCTGATTGGTCAGATGGCCCAGTCTGTTGTGATTGGTCTACTCTGCTCTGATTGGTCAGATGGCCCAGTCTGTTGTGATTGGTCTACTCTGCTCTGATTGGTCAGATGGCCCAGTCTGTTGTGATTGGTCTACTCTGCTCTGATTGGTCAGATGGCCCAGTCTGTTGTGATTGGTCTACTCTGCTCTGATTGGTCAGATGGCCCAGTCTGTTTTGATTGGTCTACTCTGCTCTGATTGGTCAGATGGCCCAGTCTGTTGTGATTGGTCTACTCTGCTCTGATTGGTCCGATGGCCCAGT